TAGGAAACAGCTGTTATCAATGGGGAAATGGGGGAACATGGGGATATTTAACTGGGAAGGGAGGAGGAAAGGACATACAAACAACCATGGGGGTAAAGGTGAAGGAAGAAGGAACTCAAAAGGAGGGATAATAGGAGACAGGTATTATCAAGGTAAAAATGGGGAAAATCGGGGTACTTTGGGGAGGGAGGAGGGAGGATAGACAAGGAGAGAGAAAGGAGAGATAAATAAAGCTTAGGTGGTGTGAAAAGCCAGAGGAAGATGTATTAACTCAAAAACCTCCTGAAAAATATAATAAAATATCTGAATGTGAGTGCATGTGTATACCTGAAGGCTATATAACAAGAAACACAGTGCCAAAGAGGAGAAACCTCCCTTTGAGTTGTTGGTCAGGGTAGTCAAGAGACTCCCAAAACAACACAGGCTATTGCCACAGCCCTTGATTACCTCCCAGAACTTGAAGGTAAGATCCTATTGCTGAAGACAGGACATACTTTGGACACAGGACTTGGAGCAAGGGAGCTGGAACTGACCTGGAAGCTTTTATCCCAAAGACTAGTTCTCATAGTTAGAGGGTACTATGCAAGCAGCTAAGGCAGAAAATCAATCAATGGTCCAACCTAGTTCTAATAATAACCACAATGGCCAGCACAACAAACTATCTCTATTGATGTAGCAGTGGCACTTTTACCTAGGGGGTAATCAACAGCTATCTAATTGGACTTACAGTCCTTTCAAGTAGGAGGGAGCTCATAGGTGGCACAGTAAATATAGCCAAATACACATGGATAGAGATGTCATAGATCCTAGAGAAAAACACTATCTCTGTCATCTCTCTAGACAAATGAAATTTCTTACTGTATGCTAAATATGGATCCTTATATTTACAGACATGTATACTGTATAGCACTCATCAAAGAAGCTTCTTTTTGCAACAGATGGAGGTTATTACAGAGTTCCCACAACTGGTCACATAACAGAGAATATATGTCTGAGAGATGCCCAGCCCTAAGTGACACATATACAGTACAATCTCTACACCTAAGTTCATGAAACAGTGGAACAGGGTGTAGAGAGAATATTGATACAGCCCTCAACTCTCACCAGTGAAACTTTCACATATAACAGAGTGCAATGCACACAGAAGTCCACAACTGGTCAAGTTTTAGAGAATAAGAGGCTGCAGAGTGTACGCCCTTGGATAGGACTCCTATATTGAACCTCATCCACCCATGACTTGGGGGGCATTGTGGAAGAGGGGGTGGAAAGATTGTAAGAGCCAGGGTTGGTACATGAATATAAACAGAGGCTTTCCAGCCTTTAAGCCTCTGGGAACTTGCTCCTGTGAACTTGCAACAATGTTGACAGCATGCATAAGACCCATGTTGAGTCAATCAGACAAAAACCCAGCTGGGGAAATAGGCAGCAGGTCCCAACCTTAGCCAAGGAACTGTTGATAATTGATTACTGCAAGGTGAAGGAGAGTAGATCTTTAAAGATGTGGCTCCAGATAGGCTGACCAGACTCTAGTGGATGAACTTGTACTGAGGGACATCTGGGTACAAATGCTTGACCAGATAGGACTTAACATATATGACAGAATGCATGAAATCTAGTGTATGCGTATGGTGGGGGTATAGAGGGTATGAATGGGGGAGGGGGTCTAAATTTGATTAAGATCCATTATGCACAAAAAAGAAAACTGATTTTTCAGGGAGACAACCGAAACATAATGCACTAATCCCCTAAGCTTTTAACAAACTCTCCTAAAGATTAACCACAGTGTAAAATCCACAAGTTTTTATTGGAATTGTTTGGTTATCAGTTACACATCTCCGGCATGGCAACCAGGATCATGCCTAGGTCTGTCTTTATTGTCCATTGAGGGACCTGCTGCAGTTTCTCTCAGGTTGGTACCCTGGTCTGGCCTTGGAAAGTTTTTCCAGGGGAGACTTAGGACACACTCTTCCAGATACCAAGTTCTCTACTTATAAGGTGCAGGATTTATTACCACAACGAGGATAAAAAAGAAAGTTTGCCAACTTTTTAACTGCTTTTACATATAGTTTATTTTTTTATTAATTAATTAATTTGAAAATTTTATCTATATGTGTGTATTGCCTGCATGTAGGTAAGTGTACCCGTGTCATGCAATGCTGACAGAGGACAGAAGAGGCTATTGGATTCCCTGAAACTGGAGTTATAGACAGTTGTTAGCTGCCATATGGGTGCTGGGATTCAAACCCAGGTCTTCTGCAAGAACAACCAGTGCTCTTAAGCGCTGAGCCATCTCTCCAGTCCACATATGGTTTCTTTGTCAAAGCTGTTGTTTTCGGAAATACAGCTGCCCAGCTTATTTGAGCCTCTGTACTAAATCAATGGAGCTTGTTTTAGTGTTTTAAAGGCTTCTATGAATTCTGCTGTCACTAGGCATCAAGTGAGGCTTTCTTTTATGCCAAGATTTTAAAGAAAGCCACTGGCAGTAACTCTTATTTGGGGAGAACAAAGTCACAAGACTTGCATCTTTAACTTATACATGGCCATGGCTGTCGAAAGTTACATAGACGGCGACCCTGGAAATGAAGCCTGTCTAGTCCTCCAAAGACCACCTTTCTCTAGTTTGTGTCTTTCTCTTCAGAGCTTCAAGAAGCCTGTCTTAATCTCCAGACTCAATGCTAAGGAAGTATTTGCCTCAGGCCATTACAAAGACATCTAATCTAGTACTATGGGAAATAATGTGGCACAGTGAAAAGAAAATGAGATTTAGAACTAGGAAACTCTGGGAGTTCTGGCGCCTGTTGTTTGCCTGACCTTGGATATTCACTTATTAGTTTCCTAGGACTTCAGTTTTTCTTCAGCGACATGAAAAACAAGTGGTATTTATTTCATTAGGCTTTCTTTTTCAGAGCAGTCTTGATAAACTGCAATTATCTTATGTTTGTTTCTATTTCTCACCCCACTGCATGCAGACCTTGCTGTTTTGGATCACCACAGTGGTCCACGGCCAGGAATTAGCAATAAGCACATAAAGACATGATGAAAAGTGAGTGAAATCTGAATGAAGGAAGAAAAGAATGAAGGAAAGAAGGGAGGAAAGGAAGGACAGGGTTTGGGGGACATTGCCGAGGTAGCATATAAAAAGATCACCATATAAAAGCGATCCGTAAATTGTTAAGTATTATCTGCATTATTAAAATGGTGCATTAGTTATTATATTATATTATTTTATAATGCATTGTTGCATTAGTTATGCTGGGATGATCATTATAAAGCTAGATAGTGTTACTTTCCTGATTAAAGCTCTCCAGTGATTTTTCTTACTTAAAATAGAAGTTAAGCTGCCCCAGATGATCTGACCCCTGTCTACCTCATTTTCATCTGGCCTCCCTCTGCCCTGCTGTACCTCAGGCACTTCGTGTTCTCTGTGTATTTGCAAACATGCCAACTTTGCATGAAGCTTTGTCGTGAGGCTTTTGTTTAGCCTGTCTCCTACTTAGAAAGGTGTGTGAAGTCAGCAATGCTGGCTCCTTACTGTCATTGGTCCTTTTGTTTGCCTGTCACATTCTTAGAGAAGACTGTCCTGTACATGTATCTAGAGGAACCTTCATATTCTTTTATTTATTTATTCATTACTAGTTTCCTCCTTAGCACCAGCTGCAAACAAATATTTACTTACATTTATTTCAAGTAGAAGATGTGATCTTACATTTGTTTAATAGTTGGACTTCACAGATAATTTTCTAATTATTTTGTATTATTTGTACAAATATATGAGCTAAAGCAAAACAAAACAAATTTCTCTGGGTCTAAACAGAAAACTCCCTCCCCCTCCTCCTTACTCCCACACCACACACATTCTTGCAGAATTATTCTTGTACCGTGAGTAAAAGGAACTGTGTCAGTTGGGTTCAAGATTTGTGTCTTAACTTGAATCTTGATCATGTGCCTCAAGTGATAACAATAATTCCCAAGTACTCTAACCTTGAGGGGAGTCTTTCGAGATATGAAAATGATAGTGTTATGGGCTAAGCTTTCCCTGCTGGACTCTTGACTCAGGATTTGGAAGGTGGAGGGAGTCAGGTAGAAATAGGCAAAGGGAAGCAAATGGCAGGAACGTGCACTGTTCCAGTTAGGGTTTATTTCAATGAGCCTCAAGGCAGCATTAATTCAAGGCACAGGATTCAGGTCTATGGCTCGTTCTCTCCTCTCTTCCCTGTCCTTCCCATGGTGGCCTTGTTAAGTAAAGCTGATGGATCCTTTCAAAGGCCAACTACAGGTCTGGAGAGAGGAGTCTGATCTTCCATTAGGATCATGATATGAAACCTGTGCAAAACAACAACCTGTGTGATATTTCTGAAAAACAACTTTTCAGTGTTAAGCAAGCTTTCCCTGCTTATACATTAATGTACCAGACAAACCTGGGACTCTGCTTTTCATATTTTCTTACTCTCTTTTTTCTCCTAGAGAAGTTGGTGCTCAGGCAAATCTCGTTGTCACATGGAGGTCAACATCTAACTCTAAGTGCACTTTAGCCCGTCCCTAAGAGATGGGCTCCTACTGTATCTGAACTTGGTGAACGCTCCCCCATCTGCTTTCAACATGCTGCATTTGACGTTAACTAATGTCTCCCATTAGCATTAAAAGAAAACAATCTGGAAAAATTCACTCTCAAGCAGAGTTCAAACAGGCCATAAGGAGATGTGGAATCTCAATTGCACAAAGTTTGCTAAAGTTATATATATATATATATATATA